GTACCACTCGGTTTGCACCCCAACCAGAAAGTAATAAAGTTTTCTGTTCCACGAGAATAATATAGAGTAAAATATATGATATGTGATAAAACACTGGCAGTTCACCCATTTGCAGAAGTGACCTACAACAGTATTTAACATACTGCTGCATGGATTGGAGGAGTCTACCCATTCAACACCTTTTCAACAAAGCTCACAGTGAGCCAAGTCATTTAACATCACGGGCATCATTTACTCGGCCTCAAAAAATAACTTACAACTTAATTGTGCGTGTGAACATTGAGCATTGAGCCACAGAAGAACACTAACCTCCTACAACAATAACCGGAATGGAACAATTCAAAATTCCGGACCGGAAACAATCAAGCACTATACCTTGCGATTAATATCGAAAAGCGGCGATGTCCACTCTAAAATTCTGGTTAAAATCCTATGATCATCAATTATATGAGTAGGTATTGTCGGAATTTGGCAGAAACGACGATTTCACTGTTTGTTTACGTTTCCATAAAGGCGCGGGAAATGCGGGGTGGGGAGGAGGAGAGGGGTAGGGGACGCGGCACGGCAAAGGGGGAGAGCAATAATTACGGCACACTCACCGACATATCGAGGTCGCGGGATGTGTTCTTTCCTGGGGTAGGCAATCCCGCCTCGCTTGTCCAGGATGTGACCCTTTCGGGGGATGCTTCCCGTCCCGTGCATCGTTGTGTGGCTCCAGGCGGCAACGCCAGGGAAGTGCCATGTGACAATAATAGTGAAATGAACAGGATAATAAACTATTATGGGCGATTTGCTATCAATAATAATTATATTTGGTGACTTTTAAGAAATATGCACCAGCCCAGGCAAACGAAGTTTGGAGCCGAATCGTATTTGTCGTGGGAGTGTCATCGGCGTGCTCGGGAGGGGTCCCCAATATGACGTCCCCGGGGGCCCGGACGACATCGGCACTACCAGATTTGGACTCAGCGTGCGAGAAAAAAAAAAACACGATAATTCAGTCGTCCTGGTCGTTCCGAGGTTGACGGTCGGTCGGTCGGCCAAACCGTATCTTATTTTGACAGCCCCGAGGGGGACGCGGCACGGCAATGGGGAGGGAGAGCAATAACTACGGCAGAAGTTCCGATCAGACGAGAACACTCCTTGACATATCGTGGTCCACGCCACGCGTATCCGGGCTGATCCTTTAGGGTTCGACATTTGGCCGCAGTGGAGAACTCGAGTCCTGAACCTCAGGGAAGAGTTGTGGCCGAGGACGCCTCGCTTATTCAGGATGTGACGTTTTTGGACATCCCTGTTTGTGTCCACAAAATCGGCGGTACAGCCGGTTCGGATAAAGCTGCCTCTGGGCGTGTCGGTTGTAGCTCCAACTTTGTAGCGACAAACAGGGACGTTCAGGGACAACGGACGACGGCAAGAGTTGGCTGAGGACGCCTGGGCGGTAGGCAATCAGTACGCAATTCATCTCTGTTGGTTGTGAAGGGATGTTCTATAGTCGGCTCGGATTAAGCTGACTCTTGCCGCCGATTTTGTGGCCACAATTTTTGTGGACACAAACAGGGGCGTCGTAATGTGTGGTTGACTTTCGGGCGAGGTGTGGCTGAGGGCCCAGTTGTGGCTTAGGGCGCCTGGAAGGTAGGCAATCCTTACAAAAGAAGTCCTTCATGTGGGCCCCATTGTGTTGGTTTATATGCATCCGGGGCCTTCCGGGTTGTTAGGGACTATGTGCAGAGCGTGTCCTTGCCTTCTGCTTATATCCTGAAGGCTTTGGATTTCGTATGGGGTGTTCTATAGGTGGGTCGGAGTAAGCTGACTCTGGCCGTTGGGTTGGTGACCACAATTTTGTGGCCACAAATAGGGACGTAGCTGTAGGCGCGGCTTGGCTTGTCGCCCGCCCCGCCCGAGCCCCTGCCAGGTAGGCGCGCCCGCCGCGCTCGCCGCCAGGGCGGGTGGCCTACCCAGCCGCCGTCAGGCGCCCGCTCCACACCCACAAGCAGCACCGCGCGCTCCGCTCGCTCTCCCTCCCTCCCTCCTCCCACTCGCTCTTATTATAGAAGACTTTGCCGACGAATGACCCAGCTGCTGCTCTTCCACGGGTGGCTATGTTGCAGCGACAACAAGGCCCTGTCAGGCAGTCTGTACTTGCGGGCGGCACAAGCGACCAGAGACGAGCACTGCTGTTTGTCGGAGTAAAGTGCTGGGCAGGGGAACACAGTTTAGAGTTGCACACAAGTTCTCTGGGTGAGGAAATCGGAACACTACGGCCTCCACCCGCATCGTTGTTTTCGTTCTTCTTCGGGGAGGCAGCGGCGCGCGGGGGACGGACTGGCGAGTGTGTGTGTGGGGGAGGGGGG